ACAGTTTATGAATTTTTTAATTTGTTAAGATGGATTGAAAAGAATTCCACATCATTATATGCGTTTGCATTTATGTGCATGAATGTTTAAATCCCACTGGATGTTGGGAGCATTGTGAAGCATAGAAACAAGCTTTGTGCTTTACTTTCTAACATATGCTTTCCTGAACAAAAGGCTCCTAAGATTTCAAATGTCATTACTGCATTGCAGTATATTAATATTGATTGTGCCCAGGTTTTATGGATTCAAAGTTTTTGCTGAGAATTTTTCTTTATGTTCAGGTGTATGTTTTGAGTAATTAATCTTTGTGTACAGTGCCTATGTGATATTTTGGTGAATAATGCTAGCATTCAAAAGCTCCAGCTAAACAGTGTTGACCTAGGAGATGAGGTTAGCTTTCTGTAAGCATATACTCTATTGCCTTTGGAAGTTGGAAGTACCATGTGAAAGAGAACTGAAGGCCTATGTAGTGGAGATTTGCTTTAATTGTGAATTTCTCATCTATGCAGGGTGCGAAGGCTATTGCAGAGTTGTTGAAGAAAAATTCAACCTTACGTGTTCTTGAACTTAATAACAATATGATTGACTATTCTGTAAGCAATTACCTTGCCCTTTTCTTTAAAGTATGGCTTAAAATTTAATTAAGTGAAGCAGCGAATTTACTCTTTGTTCTTTTTTGGTTGTGGGAATGGAGGTAGGGATTTACAAGTTTAGCAGGAGCTTTTCTTGAGAACAACACTATCCGGAATTTACACCTAAAGTGAGTTAAAGTTCTTTTGGTTTCTGTTTTAAATAATATATAAAGTTTCATTTGCAATAGGTTATGTCTCAGAATGCTGGATGCATCTTTCATTCTTGAACAGTTTTTGAAAGCAAAATCTGCTTACTTTCCTTTTGGCACATCTTGAAATGTTTTTTATTTAATCAGCATCTGGGATTTCTGACATAATTTTATTGTTCAAGTGGTAATTATGGTGGTGCTTTGGGGGCTAATGCATTGGCTAAAGGGCTCGAGGGGAACAAGTCTTTACGGGTACATTTCTTATTTACTTCTGCTTCTATTTGTTCTAAACTATATGATGAGGGGTCACTGGTATTGACATCTTTATTGCTTCGTTTATACTTGCATTTTAACATTGTTTCTGGTACTAAGTAACAATTTGGAGTATTAGAGAGCTCTGCATTTATAATATAGGATGAAAATGCTACTGTGGTTAGAGTGTTCATTTCCATTAAGTGATCATATTGGCCATTGATAAGTAGATCAATTTTCGTTTAACCTAAGCAAAAAGTGCTATGTTTTTTTTTTTATACATCTAATATATAGTGACTGGATTTCCATGATGTGTTTTCAGGAACTTCATTTACATGGAAATTCCATTGGTGATGAAGGAGTGCGCTCTTTGCTGTCAGGCTTATCTTCTCACAAAGGTGTGCAGTTTATTATATCATATCTCTCTCTTTTGTAGTCATTGATTTTTATTCTTAGCAGCCTATGGCAGTTAATCTGACAAGCATATTCTTTCTAGGGAAAATTACTCTTCTGGACCTTGGGAACAACTCAATAACTGCAAAAGGTGCTTTTCACGTTGCGGAATATATCAAAAAAAGCCAGAGCTTGCTGTGGGTGAATCTTTACATGAATGACATTGGTGATGAGGTATTCAACAAATAAACACACACTCAATATACAAAGCTTTTTCTAGTAGGTTTGTCATTTCTGAGTGTTAAACCAGTGGCAACTAAACAAAACGCTATGTTCTTTACTGGTTATGTTTTATATCGGAGGGATTGGAAGAAAGCTCTTATGTTGACCTTTTTGTTTAGAACTTTAATCAAGTAAAATATTGAATTTGATTGCCAACAGTTGTGCAGAAACTTCGAGTCAAACTTCTTTATTGATACAAAATTTTGAAAATTTATCAGGGTGCAGATAAAATTGCAGATGCTTTGAAACAAAACCGGACAATAACAACCATAGACCTGGTGAGAAGAGAATGCTTCTTTCTAATAAATTGTATGTATATGTTTCGGGCATTCAGTTTGAGCATGTCTTATACAAACCTCTGAGAAACGACAACTGGTTTATAATGCCATAGGGTGGAAATAATATTCATGCCAAGGGGGTCAGTGTGATAGCTGAAGCCTTAAAAGATAATACTATCATTACAAATGTAAGCCCTTTCACCGTCATAATCATCTTCTTCAGCTGCTCTTTATGCCTCCCTTTTTATCATTCAATTTGGGATAGTGACATAATTCACCCCCCACCACCATTTTGTCTCCCCTTTTCTCTTCAGTTGGAACTTGGTTATAATCCCATTGGACCAGATGGAGCAAAGGCTTTGTCTGAAGTTCTTAAGTTCCATGGAAATGTAAAAACACTTAAGCTTGGTTGGTGTCAGGTAAATTCACATCCATAAACCTCTGTAAAACCAATTTCAATGATTTTTTTTTTTCTTTTATAACAATGTGAAATGGGATCTATTGAAGATAGGACCAAAGGGTGCAGAGTTCATTGCAGATATGTTGAGATATAATAATACCATATCGATGCTGGACTTGCGAGCAAATGGACTTAGAGATGAAGTATGTACCTGTAGATAGGAACTTCATTTTTCTTTATTAGACCCTTGTGGACATTGAATCTTATTCTTTGATCCGTTATACACATTATTTGCAGGGTGCAGCCTGCCTGGCTCGCAGCTTGAAAGTAGTTAATGAAGCTTTAACTTCACTTGACTTGGGATTCAATGAGATTAGGGTAAAAGACTTTTTGTCATATTATCTGTTTTATGACTTTCCTGCATGCTGCATCATTTGACATGGGGTTTTTTGTAGGATGATGGTGCTTTTGCCATTGCTCAAGCACTCAAGGCCAATGCAGATGTCACAGTAACATCTCTCAACCTTGCGAGTAACTTTCTTACAAAATTTGGGCAGGTAATATAACCTCACCTCATTTGTTTCCATTCTATCTTCGGTTTCAATTCTAATGCTGTTGTTGGTCGAATTTTTCTCACTATTTTCACCTAAATTTTTAGGCCAACTCTATTTTTCACTTTTAGAATTACCATTTGTTTAACAATTGCATCTAAATTCTTCTTTTGTTTTTTCCTTATATCATGCAGAGTGCACTGACTGATGCAAGAGATCATGTGTATGAGATGAGTGAAAGGGAAGTCAATATATTTTTCTAGTAGCGTTCTCTTAATGGAGGGAAATAGTTGTGTAGACAGTTTTTTGGTTTGCTCTTCCTTTGGCAGGTATTGGTGAGAACTCCAACTTTTAGGTTAAAATTTTTGAGCTCTAACCACCAATCAGAGGTACATATGGAAAATATTGACATTGAGAGATATTAGTTAGCCTCATGAGTTATATCTTGCTTCCAAACTTTGTAGTTAGTTCACAAGCTTTACAGCATTTGGTCACTCTCTTTGTATTGTTATTGATTAACAAAGGTTCTGTAAATTGTGGATTATAAAAACATTTTGGAATTGAACTTTGTTCCTGGTTGATGGAGGAGAAAACATGTGGGTCTGAGTCACAGTTGTTGGGGAATGCATGAAATGAAAATATAGGTGCTCGGGCAATCTGATCACAGGTAGCATCCGAACCCTGGTGCCTGCTGGGCTGGGAATTCAAAATAAGTTTGAATGTCTGGTGAATCCAGCGATGAAAACTGGGTTTGGACCCCTGGGAAACCCTTTCTCAAGTAATTATGTCGGTCTTTTCATAAAACTTTGTGCCAGGCTTTTAACCGGTTGCTGCTATCACCACTGCGGTGAGCTAATATTGAGTTGCGTCTTACCAACGGCAGCCAAAAGTGTAGTTCGTCCTTTCTCTTAAATAGGAAGGTGAAAGAGCTCGCTGGATAAAGATATGTTACCTCTTCATCCAAATATCTGATAGGCGGGCAATAGTAGAGTCGAGTCAGAGTCAGTGAAGCATCCAGAGAAAGACCTTTGGATTGGCAATTTGAAGTCATTGCGGTGGCGTTTTCTTATTCAAAGCAAAAGGCCAAAGGGATGGTGGTGGGGGCTTGAAGTCCAAGATAGAATTATGCATTATGTCGATTTTGCCATAAACTGTAATGCCTGTGTCCTAATGTGGATGTGGTCCGTGCGGGTTTTGGGAAGATCCATCATCCAGCTCAACATTAGCAGGCACCCACGCAGCTCTTCTGTCATCATCTCATCTCTCCGCCCCTTTCTATTAGGATGCCCAAGTGACACCTCCCTCTCTCCCTCTCACACTCTCTGATTTGTGTGCAGCCTTGTCCTACTCTTCTGTTTTTACTTACTTTACTACCTCGATCCGACTCCAGAGTAGTGTACCAAAGCCAATTTGGCTTCCTCGTGACCTTGTTCCCCTGGACCCAAGGGAGAGAGTAAATGAATGAAAAAATCATTAGCGTTGGATGCTGCTCTTCTGAATGGTAACAGGCATGTCCCCGGAACCAGGGATGCCCCGATGGGCTTTTCTATCCTTTTCAATATCTCATTAACACGAAGAAATTGTACAAGTTTTGAATATTGAGGATAAAGAGAAGTTTTTGCAAACTCCTAAATGGAAGGAGAAAATAGAGGAAAAAATTATTAAAAGAAATAGGAAAATGAGGAAGTTGAATATAGCCGTTTGCATACAAAAAATGAATTTTTTTTTTTATTCATCAAAATGGTTGCGGTGGGGGGTTTTGTTTGGGAAATTGAGACAAAGCCATATGATAGAAAAAACGTATGTCTATGCAGCTGGCATTATTATTAGTAATTCGTTTTTCCTGGTGCAATGCATCTGGCATTGTTGTTCAACCTGTCCGGTGTCCATTCTAGCAGCGAATTCAACGTGTGAGGAATTTTGGCGAATTAATCAGTCCATATAGGCTTTAGAGAAATGATTTTTTGAGGTAATTAGTGATAGAATTCATGGGTGATTTTGTAATTACGCAAGAAAGAAACGACTATAAAATAGAGAAAAAAAAAAAGCAAGCACCATTGTCACTAGCAGTAGCAATCCCAACTTTCCAAATCACAGCAGCATCATTTGTCACCTGGCCTAATGGAGCTACGCTTTACTCTCCTGCTTCTGGTTTTCTTCTTCTGCATAGCTCAGGTAGAGAGCAGTACTATCTTTTGGTTTTCCATTTAAGGATCAACTTTTAAACTATATACCCCTTCTTAAGTTTTAACATTTTCTTAATGTGCGTTGCAGGTCTCATCAGAAACCAAGATTGAAGAGCAACAAGTTCCCCAGGTGGTGAAAGGACCCAACAGAAGGCTTTTGCCATTCGTTGGTAGAGCTTTCTGCCCTTATTTTGTTGTTTAGAAGCAATATTTTAGGCTTTTTTTTTTTTTTTGAAATGCATGGTTATCATAAGAGCGCTCTGTAGTTCACTACAAAAGATTGGACAGCAGGCAAAAAGAAGCAATATTTTAGTTGTTTTATATATATATACATATATATATATATGTATATATATCACTGGCTTTTGTTTTCCTCTTACTACTTTTGTTAAGCTGGAAAACATCCTCGAAAGATGAATTTGGTGATTAAAAGTTGGTCGTGTTTCGCAGATTGTGGAGGGTTGTGCAAGGTGAGGTGCAGCTTGCACTCAAGGCAAAACGTGTGCGCAAGGGCGTGTGGAACCTGCTGCGCCAGGTGCAAATGTGTTCCTCCAGGCACCTCGGGGAACAGAGAAATGTGTGGGAGATGCTATACTGACATGAGAACTCATGGCAACAAGCCCAAGTGCCCTTAATGTGCTCCATCTATCAGCTTCTCTGTCTGCTAAACAAAGTACATGTCTCCCTTCCCAAGTTAAGCTTGCACTTGAGCGCTAGAATTAATGTATGTAATTTCCCTGTCTGTGGATGTTGATGTTCTGTTTGTTGGATAAGAGTTGAGTCCTTGGACCTTTCTAGTTCCATGTTATTGCAGCTATAATCTGGTACTACGTGCTAATTCAAAGCGATCTCTCTGATCTCTGATCTTCAAATCTCCGATTTGCATGCCAGAAACCACTTGTAATTATCAAGGGTTGTTGAACCATCTTTAATGCACTTCTAAAATCATTAAATCAAGTGCATGCAATAACTTCAACTCTTGTATGCCATTTGCAAAGACCACCGTACTCCACTTTGCAGAGGAGTCCCTGAGAAACTTTAGTTTTGGAGGCCAAAGCCTCGTTTAGTTTTAAGAGTCAAAAAGCCTTTTATGCTAAATAATGACTCCATATACAATATGTATATCACTTCTGATAAATAATCACAAATTAGAGAAAAATCATAACGTCAAAAATTTAATTCATTATTTAGACTAGAAAGGTTGTTTATAAAATACATTTTTATGTTTGTATGTGTTACAATTAACAACCTTAACATTAATTAGAGTAGTAGTGTATACAAAATTAATACAATAAACATTAGCATTTCAAATATTTGAATTTCTAAGAAATTATCTGTAAAAAATAGATACAATAAATTCTAATAATATTTTGAAACAAGATTGAAGATTATTTAATTCAAAATTAGAGATAGACCTGTGTACTTTCAAATAAGAGAGTGCTTATGTCACGGACCACTGCTCAACGCATTAAAGGTGTCCCGAAGTGTCGGTATATGAGGGAGCATTGCTGGGAAAGGACCCCCACTGGATAGTGTAAGGCAAGTGTAGGGTGCCAGCAGGGGCGCACCGATCCCTGGGCGAGCCAGCCCGATAGAGTCAGGCAGACTGCAAGCAGGCGCGACAGTCCGCACAGCCGATGCGCGGCACGCAGATGCGCAGCACGCAGATGCGCAGCACGCAGGCCTACACAGCGCCCAGACAGACTGCCTACGCGGGGCCTCTGCCCACCAGCCCGTCAGCGCCCAGGCACACAGCCTGTGCGTGGCCCAGACCCGCCAGGAGGCCCAAGAGAGTGCCGGCCCACCAGACCCATGTGTTGAGCTGCTAGAAATTTTAGCTTCTAGAAACTTTAGCTTTCCCTCCCAAATGTTTTGGAGGGAAAACTTTTGGAGGAAAATGCTTTTGAGGAAAAACTTTTAGAGGGAAATGTGTGGGGAACCTTGGCTATAAATAACCCCATGCTCCTTGTGTAAATCATCCCATTGAATACATTTCAATTCAATTCATTCAATACAAGCTCAGTTTCTCTTTGCTAGCATTTCTTTTGTCTTCCTTTCTCTTTTATGCAAGCTTGCTTGCCGGCTTAAAGCCATTGTGCGGGTGTTGGGTGCGTGCTGGGTAAGTGCTGAAGCACTAAGGCTGACTTGGGTTCTAGTGCCGGGATAAGGGTTGAACCCAAGGCCGCACGGAGGGTGGTCTGAAGAATCGCCCCGTGACACTTAGACTTGTACACTTTCGGATAAGATAAAAAAAACCAGTGGCATTACTCAACACTTGTGTTTAGACCTGTACACTTTCGATTAAGAGAGTCACCGCACAAAACCCCGTGGCATTGCTCAACACCTCATATTCAAGTAGTAAAAATATTTTATATTATTTTTTAAATATATTATAAATTAAAATTTAATATTTATTTATTGTGTAAAAGAAATAATTAAAACAGAAAGAAAAGAGAGATATTAAGCGATATGCATTACTGAAGCAATACTTGAAATGAAAAATAACTGTAAGGGTGAGGTGACTCCTATTTATAGTTGATACCCCTTATACATTAATGGTTGTCACAATCTCCTATTAAGATTCATCTCTAAATTACATTATTTTCTTGATAAATTTCACATTATCACCTAGATAACATCCACGTGTAGATGAATCTTGAAAAATCTAAAATGTAGATAATACATTTATTATTTATCAAATTTACTCTAATTTGAATTAGTCTAAGGTAGTGAGACATGTCCATATTCCATAGCACTCTCATTGGACGGAACACCACTGTGGTGGCCTCATTGGTTGTGCTATTACTATCTTGTTAAAAACCTTAAGTCAAAAAAGTCCAATGAGATAAAAATTGGACAAAAGGGAAAAAGAGTACAGTGCACTAAGTCCATAATTATTCCCCTTCAATTGAGCTATATTGCCACTTTTGGGGACTACTGCTTCTGGGGCTTACTACTTATACAGTAATTGATAATTTGCCACTCCAAGAGTAAATCAATTTTTCGCTGCATTCCAATGTCATATACTAATTTCTCAAGTGTTCACGTCGGCAATGACTTGGTAAAATTATCTGTAAGATTGTTGTGGAACAAATTTGTTTAACGTTAACTTATCGACTTTCTTGGAGTTCGTGAGTATAAAAAATTTCGATAAGATATGTTTGGTCCTATCACCTTTAATATATCGTCCCATGACTTGTGCAACACAAGCAGCATTATCTTCATAAATTATGATAAGAGAATTTGTAATCGGTGTTAAACAACAAAAACCATAAATAAGCACTATAATAGATCTTAACCAAACACACTTTCTTCTAGCTTCATATAGAGAGATAATTTCGGAATGGTTGGAGGATGAAGCTACTAGCGTTTGCTTAGTCGAGCGCCAAGAAATGGTGATGCCGTTATAGGAAAATAAATAAGTGGTATGAGAGCGAGCCTTTTGCGAATCATATTTATATTCCACATCAATGTATTTAACTAGACTAGAGTTAGTGGAATCCTTAGAATAATAAAATCTTAGATTTATGGTTTCTCGAAGACAATGGAAGATATGTTTTATTCCATTCCAGTGTCTTCGGGTTGGCGCAAAACTAAAATGTGCTAACAAATTTATTGCAAAAGTGATATTTGATCTCGTACATTGTGTGAAGTACATCAAAGTTCTAATTGCATTGAGCTATGGTACTTCAAAACCAAGTATATCTTCATCAAGTTATCTACGACGAAACAAGTCTTTTTGGGGATCAAGAGACCTGACAACCATAAGGGTGCTCAATGGCTGAGCCTTGTCCATGTTAAAACGTTTAAGCAATCTTCAAATGTATGCTGACTAATGGACAAGTATTCCATTTACTTTGTGCTTAAGCTCTAGATCAAGACAAAGTTTAGTTTTACCCATATGTTTAACTTTAAACTCCTTTTCAAAACATTCAGTAGTTTTAAATAACTCTTCTAGAGTTCCAATCAAATTCATATCATTGACATAAACTGCTACCATAGCAAATCCAATTTTATATTTTGTAATAAACACACATTGGCAGATAAGATCATTCTTTTACCCTTCCTTAATTAGGTACTCGTCTAAGTGTTGATACCATAAGCAACTGGATTGCTTTAATCGGTATAAAAATCTTAGCAACCTTATTGAGAATAAGTTATAGGAAGTGTATGCTTCAGGTATTTTGAACGTCTTAAAAATTTCATATACATATCGAAGTCGAATGAACCATATAGATATACAATCACAACATGCATAAGATGCATTTCTAGTTTTTTAGAAATAACTAGGCTAATAAGGAAACGAAAGGTAATCGCATCCATCGCAGTTGAATACTTCTCATTATAATCCATCCCAAGTCTTGGAGAGAAGCCTTGGACTATAAGTCGGGCTTTATACCTCACGACCTCATTTTTCTCATTTCGTTTCCAGATGAAGACCCACTTGTATTCAACATGCTTTACATTATTGGGAGTTCGAGCTACAAGTCTGAAAACATCTCGTTTAGCTAAGGAAGCCAATTCAGCTTGGATTGCTTCTTCCCACGTGGGCTAATATTGCTTTTGATGACATTCGATACTAGATCACGGTGCATAATCATCATTCATAATCTCATGAGCAACTGAAAGTGCAAAAACATCATCGATGATTATCTCATTTTAATCTCAAATCTCATTACAATATGTAGTAAAGATCTAATATTCACAAAGTCAGTGATCTTTTCATGGGTTTGTGCCTTTTCAAGGGAAACAGGCTTTTCTAGAGTAAGCTCAATACCAAGCTCTTTTGTAGTGGATTCTTGATTCCTCTCCCTTCGTTTTCAAGGGGATGTCTTTTGATTTTATCAATCTTTCACGTTTCTAGCGTGGGCAATTTTGATCCATTTCAACCTATCATTCAAGAACAATAATCTTAACTGGAGCACAAAGCTAAAATATGAGACTTTGTGACCTTGGCAATATCATTAAATGCATTAGGAAGTCTATTGGCAATAGCTTGTAAATGGATTATACATTGTATTTTGTTTTCACATTCAATAGTTCTTAAATCAAAATAAGATAGATTTTTTTCATTTCAAAAGAAATTCTCAATTGGTTTCTATTTCTTAGCTATGGAAGCCTTACGTATCCCAATTGATGGAAATACTATCTCATCAAAATGGCAATTCATGAATCTAGCAAGAAAAGATCACCTGTCATTGGTTCCAATAACTTAATAGTGAACAGTGAATCAAACTTAATATAAATGCCTAAACAGTGTTGGGGACTTATTTAGTCCTTTTTGGTGGTGCTACAGGCACTTGTACAACACAACCAAAGGCTCGTCAATGTAAAATGCCTAGTTCATAGCCTAGAATCAACTATATGAGGGATTGTAAGAGGTTAACAGTTGGGCGTAATCTAATTAATGCCGTCGCATGCAAAATAGCATGACCCCACATTGAAGAGTTGAGCTTTATCCTCAATAAAAGAGTATGAGTGATAATTTGGATGTGCTTAATCAGAGATTCTGCCAATCCGTTTTAAGTATGAATAAATGGAAGTGGGTGCTCAACCACGATTCCTAATGAAGCATAATACGAATGAAAGCTCTTTGATGTAAATTCACTAGCATTATCCATTCTTATGCGTTTGATTGGATAATTAGGGAAGTGTGCCTGAAGCTATATAATTGCACAAGTAAACATGCAAAGGCGATGTTACACATAGATAACAAGTAAACATGGGACCATCTACAAGATGCATCCACTAATACAATAAAATATCATAACGACCCACTTGTCGGTTGTATTGATCCACAAATATCACATTGAATTCATTCCAAGAATGAAGGGGATTCAAGATCAACCTTTTTCAT